TCTTAGTTGATCATATAAAAATGGCAGTAAACTGTTCATTTTGTTTTATGTTAAAAAAGTGTTAAAAATGGAAATAAACCCATGTCAGAACAGTGCTGTCTTGTTAAAATTTGATGTTGAATTTGCAGTTTAACATTATGTACTTTTGCATCAGAATTGGCAGTAGCCTATTTTGTGCATAGTTATTTCCTGCTTTTTGTCTGTACATTTGACAGCTTTGCTGCCTTGTTTTTTTTCAGGTTTTGAATAAAGGTAAAATTATGGTTGATGGAGATGTTCAGCAAACCAAAGATGAAGTTACAATACAAGTAAGCTTTCATGATTTTTGCTCATGTGTTTATCCAATTTTGTAAATAGTTATTATCTTACGTCTGTGCAGAAAATAGAAAAAATTTCAAATCATTTTTAGTGCTTTACTGGATAGGCCACACAACATAATAAGGTAAGAGAAATTGAGTTCCCCCGCTCCAAACTAAAAAGCATAACATTAGTGTTCACAAAGACTCAAAAAAAAAAAACCAAGATTTTATGATTCTATAACTTCATCATTATAGTTCATGCCCTAGTCATCAACCATACCAATTTTTATGATTATGATAGTTACAGAGTTATGTTGGAAATGGGTCACTATCTCACAACAATTTACAAAGCAGTGAAGTTGAAACAACAAGAGTGTTTACTCTAAAGCGTTAATTTTTATTGCACTTATATTGAGGTAAGTATTTTATATAAAAAGTTGAGAAAAAGCTGCTTTGCCAATTATAGGCACTAATAATATATTGATCAGTCTTTTAAACCACTCAAATTTGCCAGACTTATTTTTCAAAGACAATGTATCATATATGTATATCATATTATGTTTTCATTATTACAGAATAGACTTGGACATCATCCTTTCCTAGTCAAGGTGCATTATTTCTGGCAAAATAAAAAGAATGTATACATAGGTGAGAAAAGAAAAGTGGGTGAGGATTATTGCCAGTCTCACCGTTCTATAATGCTGATATCCATTTTGCTATCAAATAGGTTTGTCATTTGAAGAAATGACAAAAAAGGTTAAGAGGAAGACCAAAAATCAGCTGCATGGCCAGTTATCAGAGAGCAGTGATAAATTTAAATCGCACATGCATACACACAAACAAACACACACACACACTGAAGACTTTTATTAGTGTATAAATGAAGATTTCTTATTACTTGCAATTCATTATAAACAAGTCATGATATTTAATTCTATTTTAGTGATGGATTTTGCATCCCATGGGGACTTATTCTCCCTTTGGAAACATATGGGAAACCACTTTTCTGAAGATCTCATTAAAATTTATGTAGCTGAAATAGCACTGGCTATTGGTAAGTGTCTATTTAGCCTTGTGTAAAGACATCTTAGATTTTGTGTGAAGCAGGCAGGCATGGATGTGTGTATGCATATGCATATGCACATTCGCACATCTGCTGACTGATAAGTATCAGTTAGTTGCATTGCTGATGTTCCTTGGTGTGATCTTGCTACCTCTTCCTGTACTTCCTTCAATGCTAGTTGTTTGTGACAGCTCGACATATAGCAGAGTTGTGAAGCATTTGGGTTAATTTAGTTATGTTGTTCTTTATTCCAGATTTTCTAAATAATGCAGGTGTTATTTACAGAGACTTAAAGGTAGGGCTATCTCCACATAATAAATAAATACGAGTAAGTCATATTCATAGTCAAAATAAACTGAATGAATGGTTTATTAAAAAAAGAAAATGACTGATTATGTATTTGTATATATTTAATGTATGTACTGATATTTGATGCAATGCTAGTCTTTTCACCATTTTCTGGTGGTGAAAAAGCAAATATGGAAATGCACGATTATTGGTATTTTATTTTATTTTCAGATGGAAAATATACTGTTAGACGAATTAGGTAGGTGCAGAATTATATCGTGGTATAATTTAATTTAAAAAAATTAATCTACAGACACTCACAATATTCTGTTGAATGCATAGTGATTAGCAAAGGGATAGTTGTGTGTGTGTGTGTGTGTGTGCAAGAAAAATAAGTCCTGTCACTCATGTTCTTTGTACCATCCTTTTTCAACTGTATTGCTTAAGTATAGTATATATAGCACTTAGTTTGTTTCTTTGTATGTTTTTATGTCTATTGACCAGGGGCTACATGTTAAGCTATCGCTATGAAAAGAAGCTTATGATAGTATTTTCTTCACACCAGACTCTTTTGACATCAATCCATTCATTGATGACAACTGGAAAAAATTTAAAAACCAAAATCTCTCATCATTGGCCAATATGGCTGACTCACACTACCCACAAATATAAGCTATAGATCATTCACTTAATGACTTTTGACGTCATGACTTCAAAGGTGTTTCCAGTACAGAGGCCATATCTCTGAAAGCATTTGTCATGGAAGCAATTGGCTGACATTTTTGGTACCCTCATTGAAAATTGATTTGAAAGGTTGGCGAGGGGTTTATGCATTTCGAATCCGGTTAGGTTATAGCTTGATTTAGTGTGTCTGTACAAATAACCATTACCGTCATCTGTTGCAGTCATCATTCCCTTAAACACCATTAGTTGTTATTGTCAGTCAAAAGTGATTCTTAGGACCTTAGTACAGCTTGAGTTTTTAAACAAACCTAATTGTATTTCTTAATTTATTTATTTTATTTTATTTATTTATTTATTTTGAAGTAATGCAGTATTTTGTGACATTTTCATTTTTGATGTATTGCCATTGTCAATGTATAACTTTGAAATCACGTGGGCCTAAAGCCCTATGCAAATAGCATTTTCTGAATGCCCTTGTTATAAGAAATGCATAATTGAAAATCTGTAGTGATTATGCTATTAAGCATTATGTTACATTGCATCAAAACTGGCAAAAATCTACTTTGTGTACCATCATTATTATTTTCTGCTTTATGTTTGCTTCCTTGTTTATTTGTTTGTTTGTATGTAGGTCATGCCAAAGTTACAGACTTTGGACTGGCTAAATGGCTGCAGAGAGGCCAGAGAACCAGAACAATATGTGGGACTTTGCAATATATGGGTAAATTACTTAAGTGTCATTTTTTCCATTTAAAGTTTTTTACATAGAAGGTAATGTATTGTTTTAATTAATTGATTTTATATTTTGAGCAGACTTTTTGTCTCATGTAAATAGATTTTTCACTACAGATTTTACAACCATCCTGGATTTCAGATCCACCACCAGTTTGATAGAACTGCTCCTAAATGCATTGTGGGGGGGGGGGGGGTCATAGAAAGAAATAATTTTAATAACAAAAATGTTTATAATGATATTGACAATTTTGAAATAAAGAAGGGATAATCATGGGTGCTAATATCTCTGAAATTAGTGTAATAGTGATATTTTCTTCGTCATTTCACTGCTTCAGCCCCTGAGGTGCTACGGATGCGACCCTATACCCATGCTGCAGACTGGTGGACACTTGGCATTATGATGTATGCTATGCTGGATGGCAATGTATGTACACTGGTGGTTGCAGAGATTTCATTGATAATCCCATTAGTCTTCTAAAAGTCACATTTTGTGGTATATTTCATAGAGATAAAGTGCAGACATACATTGTGATAAAGTCTTATTTCTGTGGACATAAGTGACAATGTATTACGGTCTGGTTGTTGATAGTCATCCTGAAGTATAAAGGCACATTTGCTTTAATAATAGCATGATGATGTATGTAGTGTACTTAGTCAGTTTTTATGTTACTATTCACATTATCACCATCGTAACTCAGTTTTAGACATTAAGGTAGTGTTCAATCATTATTGATTACTACAAACTTTAAGGCTATTATTTGTAACACAGTCAGTGTAAATCTACTTGTAGTTTCCAGTATCTGGTGCTGAAGACCATAAGGAAATGTCAGCATTGTTGATGAAGTGGGGGCACACTTTTCCAGATAATTTCAGTATTGATGCCAAAAATGTACTAAGAGGGGTAAGCAGTTACTGTATTATATTTGTGGGTCTTCTTTAGACAAACCTAGTTATATGGCTACCTCAAATTTGATTTTTGCTTGATCTTTTGATATTAACTGACATGTGTATTGATTGACTAATATTGAATAAAGCCTAGAATCAGTTGCCAACATGGCTCATATTTGTCTTTCTTCATTTTTACACTCAGAAAATTAACTTTATGGCACATTTTTAGCTCCTGTCAATGGACCAAGATGTCAGAACTCAAAACTGTGATACTTTACAAAAAGAGCCGTTTTTCAAAGGCATGGAGTTTGAGCAAGTTTATGATAAGCAGGTATGCATTTGATGTAGGGGAAACCTGACAGGATGGAAATATTTTAGCAGTTTTAACTTAAAAGATTTAAAGTTGGCACAATGATGAATTGGTAGTCTTTATTTTCCAATTTTGGAGTGAATTTGTTATCAGCTATCTGGTTCTTGGCAGTATAATGGAGCTTTATTTTCAGTTTGTTCCAAGTAATCATATCCCAGACTGGAAAGAATATGAAAATATTGTGAACCCTCCTCTTCCTCCCATTGAAGAAGTAGAGGTAAGGTGTGTGTGTGTGTGTGTGTGTGTGTATGTGTGTGTGTGTGTGTGTGTGTAAGAGTGAGAGAATAATAATTCAACATACAGAATAATACTAAACAGCAACTGGTTTTGAATTTACTTTTTTTTAAGTAGATGTTAGTACAACAACAATATAATAACTTAATTTAAATATTTAACTTATATACCTGCATTACTCAATATGTGATCTTTTTATAATTTTGGACAAATGTGAAAACAAACATTACAAAAGAATAACTTCTTACAGTTTCCCAACTTTGAGTGGAACAGTGAAATTCAAGAAGCGGAACCCACATTCTTGTGAAAATTTCAGTGTATGTTATTCACAACCAGAGACTGTGCTCTATATACAAATAGTAACAGCTTTCTTTCTGGTTCATTCATTTGATCCAGCTTCATTGATATTGATTGAACAGTGGTCAGGGGTATTAAACAGGGATGTGATTATGAGGACATTTCTGGACTTCTGTTGTTTTTTTTTTACCCAGTCACATTAACATTCATTCATATTCATTTTTATTCATTAGGCCAGGAGAAGAGTTAAAACTATGCAACAGTATATTTAAAATGAATCAGTTGAAAAAAATGTTGGCTAGCAGACATGAAAAAAATACTGACATAAGTCAAAGGTGGGGAAGTTCTAAATGTTGCATTTTAACGCTACTAGATTAACCTACATGAGTTGACTTCCTGCACTGTAGCCACCATTGAATGTTACTCAGAAATGGCAGTGCTGGATACATGTGAAATGTATCATACTTAGTATATAGTAGCAAGACAAGAGTAAGGAGTATGTTCTCTTCCAATTATAAATACACTCAATCATGTAGATTTTTCTTATAAATTGATGAAAAGATTTCATTTTAAAACTATTTTAAAGTTAGTTTTATTTATTCTTTAAAATTAAATTTTGTAATTTTTTATGTGGACTGTACATTGCATGTACTGGTATCATATAACTTGTTTATTTACACAGTAAATGAGTATTTTAATTGATATCATTTACTATTTTATGTTTAATGCATCTTATTAAACTTTTACACATGTATCAATAAAGCCATTCAATTCAGCAATCCAAGTGAAAAGAGTATTAGACATAAACTCTGACATCAGCAATTTACTAGTTTCTGGTGTTTTTAAGAGAAGTTTTTTTTTTTTTTTTTTTTTTTTTTTTTTTTTTTTTTTTTTTTTTTT